ATGGATTGGTGACAGAGTGTGACCCTGTTAGCCACTCAAGAGAAGCTCCCTTTGAAGTAGCCAGAAAAGACTACAGTCCAAAATTTAATTTTGCTTTTGCTGCACATTCTAGTCCTGTGGTATTCACTCCACCATTTTTTTTTATTTAAATCCTTGTGCTCCCATACAGTGAATTTGAAAGAAAATATTTCAAGCAAAGTAAATATTCACAAATTTAAAACATATCAAGATGAAAGGTGATAATGTAAATTTCTCCAAAGACTTCACAGAAATCACGGAATTCATATGGCATGGAAGGAGGTCATTCAGCCTTTTGCATCTGCAGTGACTCTTCAAATGAGTATTACCAAGTGCCAATCTCCTGCTTTATCGCCATATCTTTGCACATTATTTCTAACTAAATACTGTCCAATGTCCTCTTGAACGTCTCAACTGAACCCACTCCTCCATACTTCCAGGCAGTTTCATTCTATACCCTAACTACTTGCTTGTGAAAAAGATTTTTGTCACATTACATTTGCTTCTTTTGCAAATCGCTTTAATCCTATGCTGTCCCGTTCTTGTTCCATTTACGCAAAGGAACAGTGCCTCCTGTCCACTCTATCCAGCCTGCTCATGATTTTGCAAACCTCTACCAGATTTCCTCTCAGACTTCTATTTAAAGAGAACTTCTTCAATCTAGCTTCATAACTGAAGTTCATTATCCCTGGAACCAATCTTGCGAATCACTTCTGCATCCTCTCCAATGCATTCACATCCTTCATAGAACGTGCTGTTACGACACCAGGACATCTGAACCAAATTAGCCTTTCTACCTCTATTTTTGCAACACGGTAAAATTGAACCAAAGACCTCCTGAATAGTCACTCCATAGTTCCTAACCCGCTTTGCCAATATTTAATTTTCAGACACCAATTTTGTGTCTTAAACAAAAAACGAAACTACTTATTAGATACGCAATAACTTTAGCCGGGAGAAAATTAAACAACATGTTAAGCTGATTATTGTCTGTGCTTTAAACCCAAAACATTTGTTTTCAGTCCCCATTTACCCAAAAGACAGACAAACATGGTTAAGGGATAAATTAAAGAAAATAACAAAACTGACCAGATTACAGAAATGGATTTCAGAATTTGCTGTTTCACAGGCATAAATATGGACTCCTTGCTGCTTATCTGACACATTGATCATAGTCAACTTCTCAGTTCACACAGGTAAAGGCCACAATACTTAACTCAGTTCTCTACTCTTCAGGCTTCCAGAAGCTGTAGTATCAGATTAGGCAGGAAGCTTTCAAATCTTGATGCTGTCCCAGCAGCAGCCCAGAATCATCTCTTAGAAAACAGTTTTAAAAAAACCTTAATTCTGGTTCTTTCATGCTGGACTGATAGACTCCTCCTGTGATCTCAACTACCATTCAACAACTGCTATCTGCTCAAACAGACTTGGCAGAACCAATTCCCAGGTACAAACCTTGTTAATAGCCAACTTATGCTATCTGTTTAAACACAATGCTCCTCCCAGGGTTACTGTGTCAGTTGGAACCTGTTTAATTAGCCTGCTGTAAGCCTCCACGTCTAACTTCACAAACAAACCAATATCACCTAAAGTGTGAAATAATGCAACTTAGTGCATCATGAACTATGCAGTGCGAAGACCAATGTAACCTTCATCTATCATGTTTATGTCATCAACTCTTCTGTCAAAACATCTCTTATACTAAAACACGGATAAAGCAAGGATTGTACACCTTTGTAGATATGGCAAGAACCATTATCATCACTGATACCTTGCTAAGGAGATACAGAACAGGGCAAATTGAACAGCAAATTAACACCACCAGGAAAGACTTCGAACATAAATTATTAAGTGAACCCTTGGAACTGTTATTTTTCATCTCAAAAATAAATCATCAGTAAAATGTAATCCAATTAAATCATGGACATACTATCCTAACACATAATTATTGAAAAAGGCTGTAATATAGTATAATTTTACCAACCTTCCATTCTCACTCCTGTTGCTTGTTTCAGAGGTTCTTACTCCCATCTGCTTGTCTATCAAATCCGCTGTGTTTGCAGGTTTATTCATGGTGCTTTGAACTTTACTTTGTCCCATGGCGAAACTGACAACATCAGGATTATAAGATGCAAGTGCATCATTGTTACCTCTGAAGGAAGGAAATTGTATCCATCATGACTCAGACATAGAAACCAGTCAGCCTATTATTATCTGAAATTTTATGAATGGTTGTGGTAACAATCAAGTAACAAGGTTTATTCCAATCTCTGTTTTTCCATACTTCTTTTCCATTTGTGTGAAATTCAAGCCCTTGAGAATATCAAACCCTTTAAAAATACAACAGATAGCCATTTGGAAGCAATTTTACACTATTAGTGTACTATAACCTAGTGTAAGGCTGGAATAAATAGGAAAATTTGTTATCTGTTGAGCTATGTAAATTTGCATTCTTTAGATGGATCCAACACACTAATAGTTGGACTTTATAACATTTTTAATCACACATTATATTTTTGTTGTTCATAACTGATCATGCTCCAGAATGGAAGATCTGTATACCATACCTAATAACATCAAAAGATCCTGACAGGTACACCTTGGGGTTAATGCAAAATTGGGTCAATGACCCTAAGCTGTATAAAGATGAAAAGGATTTCTCTACACAGCCTTGATCTTCAAACAGAAATACGATATTTCTTTTTCTTATTTTATGCAGTAGAATCAATTTACAATCTCACATCAGAGGTCAGATTCCAGATTTACAAATACTGAATTCAATAGGATGCAATAATTCCCTTAGGTTCCTTTCAATACTATTTGATTCATAAGAACTCCTCAATAAATTCTCTCTCTAGGGCTAGGTATGAACCAAATATAGTACTATTAGTTCAAAAGCAATAGTAATGAGATCCTTCTACTCTACAGCCGTGTTATATCTTGACTCCAAATAAGTAGGAGAACAGCTAAACAACGAGAGGTTGGAAAGTGTACGTGTGCAAAGTGACTTGGGTGCCCTTGCCAATAAATCACTGAAGGTAAACGCACAAGCACAGGAAGCTATTACGAAGGCTCAAGGAATGTTAGTCTTTGTCGCAAGAGCAGTGAAATCTTGTTTCAATCATATAAAAGCTTGGTTAGACCACACCTGGAGTACTGTATGCAGTTTTGGTTTCCTTATCTCAGGAAAGATATCATAGTTGAGAGAGAGTGCAACAAAGGTTTGCCAGATTTGTTCCTAAGTTGGTAGGACTGTCCTCTGAACAGAGACTAGGCAACCTGAGCATATATTCTTTCAAAATTTGAAGATTGAATAGTGATCTTGTTGAAGCTGAAAAAAATACTTAAAGGTAGACAAACAGTAGGCTGGAAGAGCCCAGCAAGCCAGGCAGCATCTGGAGGAAAGGAGCAGTCAACGTTTTGGATATTACCCTTCTTTGGATGGACAAGGTAGATGCAAAATAGATGTTTGTATTGGTTGAGGTCTCGAACTGGAGGCACTATTTTTTTTAAAAAAAGGAAAATGCCATTTAGAACAGAGATGAAGGGTATTTTTATCTGAGAAGTTTGTGAATCTTTGGAATTTTCAATCTCAGAGGACCGTGGAGGCTCAGTCTTTGAGTATATTTAAAGTGGAGGTTGATAGATTTCTGATTACAACTGGCATTGAGTTATGGGGATAGTGCAGGTAAAAAGCATTGAAGTGTTGAATCAGCCATGATCATATTAAATGGCAGAGCTCATTGACCCATTTGATCATGATCCCTTTGTAATCTTAGAAAACCTTCATTTTCTACTATGATGACACCAAAACTGGTGTCAACTGCAAACTTACTAATCATTCCATCCATATTCTCATTCAAATCATTTATGTAAATGACAAACTAAAGAGGACCCAGAACCGATCACTGTGGAACATCACTGGTCACGAGCATCCAGTCTGAAAAGCAACCCCCTACCGTTATTCTCTGTCTCCTGCCATTAAGCCAATCATATATCCAATTGGCAACCTCACCTTGAATCCCATGTGACCTAATTTTACTAATTGTGTTTATGAATAATGATACCACCTTCTGCTCGAAGCTATTGATGGTGAGCAGACTGATGAGCATCTGCGACCAGTTCAATTGGCCTCAGAGGTAAGAAGGAAATCGCAACAAGAGCAAAGCCAACTTCTTTGGGAGCTGAGCCAAGTATCCTTTTTCCCCCTTCACCATCAGGTCAGACTACTTGAAGGTGCTGACGATAGGCTTCAGAGGCATTGCAGTGTGCATTAAAAACTGAAAGGAAGAAGTAGCAAGTGGCAAAACCAAATCTCAGCATTAACAAGTGATCACACCCTGACACTGTGGGCAAGAATCTGGCAATCAGGTATAAGGCCACTCAGCTTTTATTTTTAAAGCAATCATTTCCTTCCTCTAGAGCAGTGATTAGAAATGCACACAGTACTCCAACTGTGACCTAACCCAAAGTTCTGTACAGCTTCAGCATAACTTCCCTATTGTAAACAATACGTTGACTGATAAAAGCATCCCATGTGCCTTCTAACAGGCCTATGAACCCGCCCTACCATCTTCAGGGATCAGTGGACAAGCACCACATGATCTCGCTGTTCCTCTGAGCGTCCTAGTATCCTGTCAATCATAAGTACTTCAATGTGTTGTTACTTCTTCCAGAATGTTTCATCTCACATTTATTATGGTTAAATTCCATCGGTCACTAATCTGCCCATCTGACAAATCTGTTTACATTATCCTGTAGACAATCAGCTAGGGATATATAGACTGCACCACCAAAATCATTAAGCCACATGAAATTCTCACCAAACCTCAGATATAAAGCAATACTCCAGGATATTATTTTTCACTAGTAATCAGTTCAATTCTACTCATGGCACATCCATAGATGGAAAAGATAAAGAATTACTCTATTTTTATGGTATTTGATCATCTGTGTCAATTCATATACTGTTCACATTCTTAAACAAATAATTAGCATTTCTTATTGTTTGTTCCCTTCAATCCTGAAATTTGTGATGTATATGCTAGAGTTGAATGCATTTCTTTTCTCCAATGGGTATATTATTAAACTTTAAACAGCTGAGCTAATTTGGGTCTTTTTTTTCACAAACAGAAGCTGGTAATTTGTGTCTCCTCACATATGACACAAAAGTATTTGAGAAGGCCAAACTAGTATCTTTGCCTGTCTTAGGAGATTTTTACCAAACACACAGAATACAGAAATCTTGTGAATACTCTACCTGCCCTCCTTTTGTGCTCTTTTTTGAATATCTAACAGCAAAAATTGGATTTCTTGCCGAAGCAGGTCTTTGATTACAGGAGCCTCTGGTAGGGCTGTACGTGAAGCTTGTAATTGAGAAACTCTCAATCTGGTTGCTTTCATCCCTTGCCACATTTCCAGTAAAATGGACACCTAAAATTGAGACCAATATTCAAAGCTATAAACAAACAAACAAGTTGATTGTAGCAATGACTGAATAAGTGGAAAATAATGGTTAGCCAAGAATGATGACACTTCACTGGGACATGCTGTAAGTCAGTCAAATATCAAGTAGTCATAAAGCAGCATAAATTAGAGATTAGCTTCAACAGTTTTTTTTACATGATTTGACAGACTAGGCTACATTATTCCATGTAGTGTAGAATTCAATTGATTTATTCTATTTTTGGAGTTTGATTTATTGAAAGTTAGTGCCATTTGAAAAGTAATGATCTTCAGCTGATTTCTGTGATTACACGTTGAAAAGAAATGGGGGGTAGTGGCTGTTAAGAGACCAAACCAGCACAATCAACATCCACCAAAATATTTTATGAAGGTAGGCTGGACTCTAACTTTTATTTTATTTTAATGGAAAGTGTTAGGTGCTGTGTTCCAGATATGATTCGATTGGTCCACTGCTAAGTCTTAATCAAAATACATTTCATTCTTACAATGCAATTAAAATGCAACAAAATGAAAAATCGTTATGAGTTTACATAATTGACATGCTAACAAGACAATGTATCATTTATCCACTATTCATCAACTGTTCCAACATGGGCAGCATTCCATAAACACCCTTTGGCAAAATGCAATGCAGCAAAACAGTTACTATTCTCACGTGCTGACATCTCTAGTCCAGTAGAGAAAAAACAATGCCCTTCTGACTTCTAAGAGCTAAACTTTCTGTCTAAGTCTTCAGAATAGCAGCAGAGAGAACACTAACCATCTGCTCCAACAGCTAACCAACAATAAAAAAACAACTGAAAGCAAAACCAAAGTCCTCTGGGTCTGTCAGCCTCACCTCGTCCACTCATGATTCTTTTGTCTTGCTCCAAATAAACACCCAGGGAGCAACCCATAGCTATTTACAAAACTGTCTGCTGGGAACAGACACATTGGCAAAACTGTGACAGAACGCCTCTGCAAGAGAAACAGGACAGAACACATCTTTTAAAGGCACAGTATCATCACAGTCGTGTAGATGTACTGGCATTGGAACTAGAAGTCTAGAATCTTGGGCTAATATTCTGGGGTCAGGGATTTGAATCTCACTATGGCAGATGATGAGGTTGAATTTAATAAAAGACTGGAATTTAAAATCTAGCCAATGGATGGTCATGTAACCATTGCCGATTGCTGTAAAACCCCATCTGGTTCATTGAGGTTCTTTGCAGAAGGAAATCTGCCATCCTTATCCCATCTAGCCTACATTAGATTCCAGGCCCACAATTATGAAATTGTTCATTTGCAATCAGTTTTAACATATACTGTTAAATCTGCCACATATTCAATCAAAGGAAATTAAGTCTTTTTTATAAGCAAAGAAACATAATACCATATATTACTAACAAAGTAAATCTGTCTTCCTTCCAGAAAACTCTGCTAAGATGAGAATAGAGGTCCAGGCATCCAAAAGACCTCAGTTATACTAAGGCAATATGGGACAAAGGAGCAGTTCAGCTTAAGAGTGTATTTTCACAAATGGTTAAAACCTGCAATATAAATTGAAAAGTCTACATGACCGAGGCTAGAGGAATGAATGGATTCTTACTCGAGTCCCCAGCTCCATCGATCACAACATAAAAGGACTTTTCTAGGTTATAAAAATGGTCAACAAGATATCTAATCTATATCAAGTTTTAAATAAAAGAATCAGCCATGTTAGTTTAATAAATGCAATTTTTAGTTTACTATTTAACTGGTTAGTACACATAGTCAGTAAACAAAAGTATAAATGTATATCCTTCTAAATATCCCAAAATATGCACACACCGTCCTCAAGAAAATAAGTGCACTTTAAAAAAAGTTCCTGACCTTTAGGGATATACCAGAAAACAAGTAGGATAAAGCTTAGAATGTTTCTGAAATATGTTTTTCCAATACATGCTACATGTGGTCAAGTTACTAATCATGCACAGTTGTCTCCAACTTACTCAAGAAATATAAAATTAATCACTCTTTCAGAAGAACAGATAGGACTTCACCCTGAACTCAATAAGAGGGATTTCCTTGCAGAAAACAGAGAGATCAATTGGGAAGCCCTTCCCCTCAAGCTTCTACAAAAAAAAACTGCAACATGTACAGTGACCTGTCATTGACCGCTTTTAAAGAAATCACTCGAGGCTATTTCCATAAAACTTGAAATCCATCAATTTTTCTACAATCCATCAAAATTTAAGTCCTCCAAGAAATATTAAATACAATGCATCATTGTAACACTGTGAATAATCCAAGTTAAATTGCTGGAGGTTAATTTCCAGAAGAACAGAAGCGAAAAGTTGCAAAGTTATACTAACTAATCTAGAACTGCTTTTAAAGCTGTGAACAACTCTCATCATTGTACTACAAACAGCCTTGGAAAAGCTACAGAAATTATTTACAAGGATGATAGATTTAAATCAATCAGGAGAGGCTGGGAAGGCTAGTTGTCTTTTATCTAGAACGGAGAAAGCTGACAGGTAGCTTAACAGAGAGGTTTAAAATAATGAAACAATATGATTGGTTAGCTGTGCAGAAGGTGATTCTACCGGTGAGGCTCCAACTCAAACTGGTTCGTCTTTTACACCTAAATGCAACACTCCTTTAAAAAAGATGAAAAGGTTTACAAAAATGCCTTTATTTGTCTTTCATACATGGTGAAAGATTAGCAACAGCACAGATTTATACTTGTGCATTTTCAGCTAGTTATTTCAGGCTGCTAATTCACTCTCTTTTCATATTAAGTCAACATCTAGTCTATTTTAACATTTCATATATCCATAAAGCTGGCACAGCCTTATCAGACTATAGGGTTGTTCTCTCCGTGGAGATGACTGATGGTGGCATAACCTGAGGGTCACCAGACCTCAGGCAAGGGGAGAGGGTGAGAAGGAAAGTCATTCATGGTAACCTCAGCTGTTGCAGGAATTGAACCCAATGCCATTGGCATTGCTCTGCATTGCAAACCAGCTCACCAGCTAACTAAACTAACTAACTCTCAAATATATGAAGTGCATCTACAAGGAAGTAAGGCAACACACACAGAAGGTCAACTGTTTTATCAATGGCTTGACCAAAAGTTCCGTTTCCTACTGGAAACGCACCCCCAAGAAGTATTGTGTTTGGTATATGCAGAACTATTTACAGCTCAAATGATAGATTAATACTCAAATGTTTCAGTCAATATTGGCAAAGTCACTTACTACTTACTGGTATCCCAGTTATTTTGCTGAATGGAATTATTTGTGCTATAGATACAACTAATTGAGAAATAATGATGTGCTGTCTGTGTTCTAAACTGCAGTCAATCTCACAACTTGCAGCTCCCATCAATATGAGCTTTGTTTTAGAGTTTTAACTTCTGTCAAATGGAAAGTCTTCAGTAGCCATGTCAAGTGAAATATCAGGGGAGACATAATGGGACAGGGAAATGAAGAGTGCAGAGGTTGGATATTTCCTGTTTATGTGGAAGGCAACTCAGATTGTTAACCTAGTTTAGGTTAAGCGGCATTTTTTTTTCTGGAAAAGAACACATGAACAAACATGTTTAGTTTTAATACACAACGGCCTTTCTCCATATTCCATTAACATTACTTAAATTAGGCCCTGAAAAATATAAAGACATATTCTGAAGAGTAATGCAGTCCAGATAATGCACAATTGAGACCCTTTCCTTATGTATAGGGAAGTATCTGGTTCATAGTTACGGCATCCACAATGTAGTTCAACAGTAAAATGATGCAAATATCATCAAAATTTAAAAATCATTACAACATTGCAGAAGTGATGTGCCTTGCCTGCGAATTTTGTTTTAAGACTGCTTTATCTTTCCTGGCCACATTTATTTTTAAATAGCCCATTAGGGAGAGGAGCTATAATGTTATAAATATAAAACAGTAGTTTGGGCACCCAGCATCAATAAATCACCTACGATAGGTCTCACTTGCAACGGGTAAGTTCCCTGTTGTAGTTTAAATAGATCAAGTCTATATCGATGTTTCTATTTCTAAGTAGAATGCCTCGAGACCTGTTTTTCGCTCAATGCTTTGATTCCACCTCCTCCCTTCCCCACCTTGAGCTCCACTGATGCTACCTGCCAATTTACAGGTGTTGGAAGTGAAGATCTCATCCATAAGAGTTCTATAGTCTCTGGGAGGTGTCCAGGTATACTGTATTCACAGGTGCCATGTGTGAAAGAGAGTTGCAACAATACTGGCTTGGGGCAGAGGGATTACAGCAAGTTAAAATGGGAGGGAGGGGGGGAGGTTGCAGAAAGTTGAGGAAGCAGGAGGGGGGGACAATTGCAGGGAGGTAAAGGAAGTGTGTGAGAGCAGAGTGGGCAGTTACAGAGACTTACGAGAGGAGGAGCAGACGAATTAGAGTTGCAAGGCAGGAGTAGGGTCATGATAATAGGAAATAAAAACCAAAAGAACTGTGGATGCTGTAAATCAGGAACAAAAACAAAGTTACTGGAAAAGCCCAGCAGGTCTGGCAGCATCTGTGAAGGAAAAAACAGAGTTAATGTTTTGGGTCCGGTGACCCTTCCTCCCTGATAATAGGGATTGTGAGAGGAGTCACAGAATCAGAGTCATACAGCATAGAAACAGACCCTTTGGTCCAACTTGTCCATACCAACCAAGTTTTCCAAACTAAACTATTCCTACTTGCTTGCATTTGGCCCATATCCCTCTAAACCTTTCCTTTCCATGTACCGGTCCAAATATCTTTTAAATGTTGTAACTGTATCTGCATCTACTACTTCCTCTGGCAGTTCATTCCACATGTGAACCACCCTGTCCAAAAGTGGCCTCACCAATGTCCTGTACAACCTCAACATGACATCCCAACTCCTATACTCAAAAGGTCTGAGCAATGAAGACATGTATGCTAAATGCCTTCTTAACCACCCTGTCTACTTGTGATGCAAATTTGCAGTGGTGACGCCAGTGGGG